GCAGAAAGGGCCGAGCAACAGCGCCCAGGCCCGGAGCTGAGGCCCGACCCCGGCCGCGCGGGAGCCTGGCATGGGAGGTTTCCGACCAAAGCCCGCGGGCGCCGACGCCCGCGGTGAGACTCGCCCCCGGTCAGCCAGTCGCCCGCAAAGGCCTGAAGTTGGACCGAGGCTCGGGTGGCAGCGTGCCCGCCTTGAGCGGGCAGAGTTAAGAGATGGCCCCTGGCCCCAGTTACAGCAAAAGGAAAAGGCAACACCTCAAAACCTAATTTGAACCTTTGTTAGCCAAGTAACACCGGCTCTTTGAATTGTGTTTCTTTAGTCCGAGGATCTGAAGGCCTGTACATGGTGAATGGACCCCCGCATTTTACAGAAAGTACAGTGTTTCCAAGGTACGGCTTATTTTGTTGGAAAGTAACAATACAGTAATACACAGTTCCGAATTGTTATTGTTGGCATCATTCAAACAAGAAAAACAAACAAAAACTAATTCCTTGGAAGATCTTATAAAAGAAGTTGGGGGGCTGGGAAGGTGGCTCAGTGGTAGAGCACTTGCCTTGCATGCATGAGGTCCTGGGTTCAATTCCTCAACACCACATAAGCAAAAAGAAAAAAGCCGGAAGTGGCGCTGTGGCTCAAGTGGTAGAGCGCTAGCCTTGAGCTGAAGAGCTGAGGGACAGCGCCCAGGCCCAGCGTTCAGCCCCCCCCCCAAAAAAAAAAGTTGGAAAGAATACATGTTCTTTTTTTTATTAAGGGAAATGATCTTCAGATTTGAAAATAGTAGCTTATATCTGTTTAAAAGGGAGAGGCAGCTGGGTGCCCATGGCTCACACCTGTCATCCTAGCCACTCAGGAGGCTGAGATCTGAAGATGGCAGTTCAAAGCCAGCCCAAGCAGGAAAGTGTGAGACTCTTATCTCCAATAAATCACTCAGGAAACTAGATGTGGTGCTGTGGCTCAACTGGTAGAGAGCTAGCCTTGGTCTGAAGAGTTGAGGGACACAGGGCCAGAGTTCAATACCCATGACCAACAACAACAAAAAAAAGGGAGAAGCAAATAGTTTTAAGGAGCAGTATAGACATTAGATTGAGTCCAGGCACTTAGTTTGGACAAGTTTTATCTTAGAAAACTGGAAGTGGTGCTGTGGCTCAAGTGGTAAAGCGCTTGCCTTGAGCTGAAGAATGCAAGGACAGCACCCAAGCGCAGAGTTCACGCCCCTTGACCAACAAAAAAAAAAAAAGGAAAAATTGCAAATGTGATATCAAACCACTGCCAGTAACACAGTATCAGACAATGAATACGCAGTATAAAAAGGAAGGAAACCGAATAAACTTAATATATAGCTAAATAGATAGTCCCCTCCCCAGTCTAGTAAAAATGATTGTCTCTGGGGTGAAAGAGGGTTATTTAAGAAGAATCTGCATTTGACCAGGTCCTCCAACAATCTATCTGTGAGTCCGTGTTTAAGAAGCACTGTCCTAGAAAGCAGTCCTATGCCACACTTCACTGGTCCCAGAGCAAGGCAGGAAAGGGGTCAAACAGAGTGAGTACACCGAGCTGATCAGGATGTCCACAGAAGGGCTGCACGGCCATCCCAGAGTTAATGGGCATGGGTTGATGTGGGCTGAGCCCTTCGCTTCCGCGGGTGTGATGGGTGTCCTGCAGGCTCCAGAGCTGTGAAGAGCTGAGGTGGTCAGGTCTCTTCCAAGAGCAGGAGAGGTAGGTGCTTGTGACTGAGCCAGCTTCAGTGCCACTGCAGTTACTGAGCTGACTGAGTAGAACAAGGAGCCATGAGTGTCTCCTGCTGAGCCAGCCTCAGTGCCACTGCAGTTACTGAGCTGACGGGGTAGAGCAAGGGCCGTGAGTGTCTCCTGCTGAGCCAGCCTCAGTGCCACTGCAGTTACTGAGCTGACGGGGTAGAGCAAGGGCCGTGAGTGTCTCCTGCTGAGCCGGCTTCAGTACCACTGCAGTTACTGAGCTGACGGGGTAGAGCAAGGGCCGTGAGTGTCTCCTGCTGAGCCAGCCTCAGTGCCACTGCAGTTACTGAGCTGACGGAGTAGAGCAAGGAGCGATGAGTGTCTCCTGCTGAGCCGCCGTGGGAGAGCCAGGAGCTGAGCTGCGCCTGAAGAAGCTGGTTTTAAACAGATCTAAACACTGAATTTCATCAGTCTTCAGATACTTAGTTCTCAAGTTTGGCAACATTTTTAAAGTCCCAGATCCAAGCTGGGTGCTGGTGTCTCACCTATAAACCGAGCTACTCAGGAGACTGAGATCTGAGGATCACAGCTGACCCAAGCAGATAAACCCTAGAGGCTCATCTCCAGTTAACCAGAAAAAAGCCAGAAGTGACAGTGTGGCTCAAGGGGTAGAGCAAAAAAGCCAAGAGACAACCAGGCTCAGAGTTTAACCCCCTGTGTGCACACACACACACACACACACGGGTATTAGCTGGTAGTCGGGAGTTAGTTTTGTGAGATGAAGCAGTATGATGGTGACAGTGTTTTCTTTAAAATATCTTTATCAGAGATAGATGCTGAAATATAGAATAAACCGATAGGACATGGGATGTTTACTTGAAATATTCTGGTGTGAAAAATAAAACTTGGGGGGGCAAATAAGATTGTCTTTGAGTTGATACACGAGGTTGATGATTACCTACTTTTTTCTATTTCTGTATATACTTGAAGTTTTTCTATACTTCTGTATATACTTGAAGAATTATACCAAAAGGAAATAGACAAAATTTCTCAATTGCCAAGATGAAACACAAACCTGATTTCTAGATTATATAGGCTAAAACACTTGCGCCACAGTGCCATTCCTGTTTTTTTCTGAGTAGTTTATTGGAGATAAGAGTCTCACAGACCTTCCTGCTTGGGCTGGCTTTGAACTGCCATCCTCAGATCTCAGCCTCCTGAGTGGCTAGGATGACAGCTGTGAGCCACCAGCGTCCAGCTTGCCTTCAGTCTTAAACGGTTCTAGTAAGAGTTACTAGAAAGACTGCTCATAACCACTGAGATAGGTGGTGATGGTTGGGGTCAAAATGAGCAGGCTCATCTCCTTTGCATGCAGAATTTCCAGGCCCATCAGCGTAATAAACGGTAAACGTGGCTTTTTGCTCTTGTGTTGAAGGCTGATGAAGCTGCTAGATGAGAGCAGTGAAGCTAACCCGTTTATGAGTTGGTTTAGTTGAAGGCAAGGACTTGAGGCACAGATTTTTGCTTTTCTGAGCTCATTCAGCATAATAGTTTAGGAATGATGTTTATAATTTTCACTTTTATGTGAATTTCTAAGGAATGACTAATGGTTTAGAAGAAAATGAAGGCTTAATTAGATCCGAGTAGGCTGAACCTAGTAGGCCAAAACCTGGGAAGAATTTCATGAAGATACTTGTAAAGTTCTGCCTTAAGATTTGGAAATTAATTGCAGAAGTATAGGATGGGGACATCTTGTTCAAAAGAGAAAGACTTTTTTTTTTTTTTTTTAGTTTTAACTTTGAACCGAATGTAAGCCAGTTATGGAATGACTATAAAAAAGTCAGAATGCCATCTTTAGTTAAATTGATGCAAAGCTAGCTTAAGAAGGATACATTATGGGTCAGTCCATGGTGCATTTGTTATTTGGCAGTTCGGTTCTCATCTCTAATGCTGTGATCACTGACAGACCAAGTCCTTTTGGGCCTTCTTTATCTCTAAGAGAGTGGACATCTCCAGCAGGGAGGTGGCAGACTTGGAATTCTGATTACTTAGTAGAATGCTGCCAAGTAGTCCATTTTCATGGACACTGTACATCAGCATTGATTAAGGTGAAGACCCTCTTATTTCTGTGTCATGTTCTCTGTACATGTGAGAGACGGATGGTCCGTCTTCGGTCTTCAAATCCAGGGGTATTTGTTGGCTGTGAGGATATTCTGTCACCATTGGTTTGTTACGCAGGTGGTCTGGGGTGTTGAAATCAACTTTCATATTCACTTACATGTTGGGGTTTTCCACACAAACTAGTTATACACCCAAGAGTGAGCTATTTCTAAGATTTATCCCATAGCAGAAAATAAGTTTTCAGCCTATTTTACTGTGGTTGTTGACATTATGTTTTTAAAGAGAACGTATTTTGGCAGACCAAAGCATTTTGGGATTGTTTTATAAAATTTGGGTCATTAAATTAGTGGATTGTTGGCTTTACAATCAAATTAACAAATACTGATGTCTATTAATTCAAGCTTTCTTCTCATTTTCAGGGAACCTGGAAAAAACTGCAGAGTCTATGCCTTTAGTAAGGATGGGTCCTTGTTTGCCTGGGCCAGTGGAGAAAAGTTAGTGCTCATATAAATAGCGTATTTCATGTGCTTCGTTAGTATAAATGTGACTGGCTGCTTTAGTGCTGTGTGTGTTGAGATGGCTTTGAGCACTTTCAAAGTGCTTCCATATACACGCCCTGTCCTACTTACCTACATGTCCAAGAACTTAAAGTTAGCATATGAGGAGCGTGATTATTTTCATACTGAGGAATTGGAGAAGTTATGGTCATATTATACTCTAAAAGTTACTGGTAGGGTTTCTTTGCTTATTTACCGTATCTTAGATTTAGATACTTTGTGTCTTTGCTATTAAATTGACAATACTGCAGTTAGTATTACTGTAGTCCTAATGTATATAAAAGGATATAAATTATTGAAAAGAATGTTTAGCATAATCTACTGTGTAAATTGCTTTACAAAATTTGTCTTGCAGAAAATAATTCTGATTTTAAAAATTTTAAGAAAATTAGTCCTTTATAATTTTCTGAACATTCCTGACATTTTTTCTCACACATTAGAAAAATGCCGAACTATCTGTTGCCTGGTTTAAAACTATTCTTATTGTTTTTAACCATTTAATAGTAATAAGTATTTTATTTCTTCTTTATAGTTGGGAATGTATCTTGATATTTTCCAACTGTCAGGTCAAATTGGATTAAACACATGATTTTTGGTGAACTCCTGCTCAATGTGGCCCACTCCTGAAATCCTGTCTACTTAAGAGGCTGCAGTCTGAGGATCACAGTTCAAGGCCAGCCCAGACAGCAAAGTCTGCAAGCCTCTTATCTCCAGTTAACCACCAAAAGCCAGAAGCAGTGCCGTGGCTCAAGTGATAGAGCGAGTGCTAGCCCTGAGCACAAAGAAGCTCAGGGACAGCACCCAGGCCCAGACAGCGCTTGCTCTTGCTCTCTCTTGTACTCCCTCCCCCCTCTTTCTCTCCCCCCCCCATAGCACCCAGGTCCAGAGTTCAAGCCCCAGACAGCACTTGCTCTTGCTCACTCACACGCTCTCTCTCTCTCTCTCTCTCTCTCACACACACACACACACACACACCACTACTACTAATAATAATAATAGTAAAAGAGGGGCTGGGAAGGTGGCTCAGTGGTAGAGCGCTTGCCTTGCATGCATGAGGTCCTGGGTTCCATTCCTCAACACCACATAAGCAAAAAAGAAAAAAGCCGGAAGTGGCGCTGTGGCTCAAGTGGTAGAGTGCTAGCCTTGAGCTGAAGAGCTGAGGGACAGCGCCCAGGCCCAGAGTTCAGGTCCCATGACCTGACCCCCACCCCCCAAAAAAAAGAATTACCCTAGAAAAAATGCAGCAGTGATACTCACTGGATACTATGTTGAAAATCAACTATAGAACTCAAGCAGGGGATGGGAAGGAGGGAAAAACTGGGAGAGGGAGGGAAGGAGTGATACTGTTCAAAAAGAGATATACTCTTGTGTTCACTTTGGCAACACATACACTAAAATTGGAACGATACAGAGATTAGCATGGCCCCTGCCCAAGGATGACACGCAAATTCGTGAAGCGTTCCATATTTAAAAAAAAAAAAGAAATATACTCTTTACCTCACTTATGTAACTAAACCCTCTGTATATCACTTTTAGAATAACAAAAAGTTTAGATAAAAAATAACCTGAAGATTCATTATCTTATACTAAAAATTCTCCTTGCTAGAAAAAACAGAATTATGGTGTGCAGCAATGACAACTATTGTAAAGGCAGCGTGGGTGTGTGTGCGTGCATGCGTGTGTGCGCGGACAGTGGTCTGACCCTCTCGTCTAAGTCTTTTCAGTCATCCCCACCACAGTCTTGGAAGTGTCGTCATCTCTGCTCCACCTCATTCCAGAAGTTGTTCAAAGACTTCATTCCACTCAGGCGAGGGTAAGCACTGGCAGTGAGGACGACAGGGCAGTTTAAGTGACTACCTGTTTCTTTAAAGTATTTCTTACTCTACTAAGTAAGCCTATTACCCTGTGTATTTCATTCATATTAGCCTTCTATTAAATTCAAGTCTGAATCTTTTAGTATACCTATGTGTCTTTTCTTTTTTTGCTGGTCCTGAGGCCTGAACTCTGGGCCTGGGCGCTGTCCCTGAGCTTCTTTTGCTCAAGGCTAGCGCTCTACCACTTGATCCACAGCGCCACTTCTGGCTTTTTCTGTGTATGTGGTGCTGAGGAATTGAACCAGGGCTTCATACATGCTAGGCAAGCACTCTACCACGGAGCCACCTTCTCAGCCATCCACGTATCTTTTCAAATATGGTGTCGACCACGTTACTAGGTACTTTTGGTATCAGAGGCTGCCTTATTTCCCTTCAAGTGCTGGGGTCACAAGCGTGCATTCTCTTACAAGGTAAGAGAATCAGATAGAGTGCGCTGACTGTGGTCATGGCTTAGTTTATATTTGAATCAGTCAGAAACTGTTTTCTCAGAACTTCTAGGAGCAATTATTAAGCTATCAACAAAATAAGAAAGGTTCATGTAATTTTTTAAATGTGCCACATACTATATTTACAAAGACTTGTATATGTTTTTAAACAAGATGATTATCTTGTACCATTATTGGTTTTGTTTTTTTTTTGGGGGGGGGGTCCAGTCATGGGGCCTGAACTCTGGGCCTGGGCGCTGTCCCTCAGCTCTTCAGCTCAAGGCTAGCACTCTACCACTTGAGCCACAGCGCCACTTCCGGCTTTTTTCTTTTTTGCTTATGTGGTGTTGAGGAATGGAACCCAGGACCTCATGCATGCAAGGCAAGCGCTCTACCACTGAGCCACCTTCCCAGCCCTCCAGGGTAATTCTTATAGTCCTATCTTTGAAGACTTCTTTGGAGTTTATTTTTTCTTTGTGCCAGTATTGGGACTTGAACTCAGGTCCTGGTCACTGCCTTTTAGCTTGTTCTGCTTAAAACTCATGTTCTACCACTTAGAGCCACAATACCACTTCCAGCTCTATTTATTATTTTGGTGGTTTATGGGCGGGTGGTTTATATGGGGATATGCTGCCTAGGTTGGCTTTGAACCATGATCCTCAGATTACAGCCTCCTGGGAGTTAATGTTAGAGACATGAGCCACCAGCACCTGGCTGGAGGCGTTCATCAGCTTCAGACTCCCCACGCTGCTGCCGTTTGCTTCCTTTCATTGTGCTGCCCTGTGTGCACCTCTGCCTTTGCTTTTCTCAGGCAGACCTTGACTTTGCCCTGTCCAGTTCTGTGTTCGGCGAAGGGCCTGTGGCCTCAGCTACAGTCAGTCACTCACTCTGGGCTCTTGCTGCCAATTCAGTATTATTCCCCAGCACTATCCTTATATAGAGGCTTTTTGTTTTTTGTTTTTGTGAAATGTACGTTATTTTTCCAGAAAACTTTTTAGGTAAGGAGTTCCTGGGAATTTTCTAGAATTAACTGAAAATTGATTTGTATGAAAAAGGACTATTTTAAGATGCGGTGTGACTGTTTCTGTTTGTGCTGGCTATTGCGAAATGGAATTCCTTTGCTAAATTAGTGATTTCTTTTGGAACCAGAGTCAGTGTCATTGATGTCACTAACAACGCACCGCTGCACTCCCTTCACCTCCCAAAGGCAGTCTGCCTTGAATTCTCACCGCAGAACACCGTCCTGGCCACCTGGCAGCCCTACACTAGTAAGTACTTCCCCAGCGCGACCTGAGCACGCAGGCTGGGTGTCTCCCGTAGGACAGTAGGCCGTGGCCGGGTGTCTGCAGCCAGCAGGGCAGGCTGCATTCGTCGGTGCAGTGTATGGAGAGGAAGGGCCGGCCATCCCCCGTGCCTCAGACAGCGGGCTCCTACGTCTCAGCCAAGCCCTGAGGCGCTGTGGCTGGTCCTGACTGTCCGTGGTAGCAGAACCACGCTGTTCCACAGCTTCATGGAGAGAGGATTTAGTCTTCAGTCTTAGCAGCCTTAATGTATGATTTTTGTTTTGTTTTGTTTTTTTCTTTGTCAGTCCTGGGCCTTCAACTCAGGGCCTGGGCACTGTCCTGGAGCCTCTTTGTGCTCAAGGCCAGCACTTACCCCTTGAGCCACAGCGCCACTTAATGCTTTTTCTGAGTAGTTATTGGGGATGAGTCTCATAAACTTTTCTGCCCAGGCTGGCTTTGAACCGTGATCCTCACATCTCCGCTTCCTGAGGAGCTAGAATTACAGGAGTGAGCCCTTGGCACTGGCTGCTTCTGCCTTACATAGTTGAGAACTCCACATTTTCTTTAAAGGAAGCACTTCTCTTTGGCAAAGCCACATGAGAGTTTGGAGCCCCGATGAACTTGAGTAAAGGTCCGTGGGTATGGTAGCCAGGATAGCTGCTGAGTGACGGGGTGGGTGGGCACTGCCGTGGGGTGCCGTGTGGATGCGCCCACGGGACCCTGCGGTGCGCGTCCAAGTGAGGCCGGGGCGGCAGGAGACCCTCACGCAGCCCAGGCGGCAGGCAGTTTGACGCCTTGGAATCGTTCACCTCTGGAAGATTCCATGTAGTGCTTTTGGACTGTGGTTGATAAATCAAAAAACTATGACAGAAACAGCATCTAAAAGATGTGTGTAGTATGACAAAGAAAGGAAACAAGCTGAACATGGTGATCCATACCTCCAATCCCAGCTCTCGGCGCTGCGGCAAGATACCGGTTAGATGCCACTTGAGGGACGTGTGAGGCCTTGTCTCCCAAGAGAGTTGGGGGTAGGGCCATTTCTAACACATTTAAAGATACTGAAAGATAAGATATATTTTATGCAGTGTTTTACCCATTAGATAATCAAATACCAAAATCTAGTATAGAGATTTATTTTTAGAAACATTTTCTAATGTTGATTTTGATACTATTTCACTGCTAGGCGTGAGCCTCCAGACTTTCATTGTTTGAAGAGACATGCACTTCAATGAGATTCAACTTATACAACGGGAAATTGGCAATCATGCATGCTTTTATATAACTTATTTTGTGGCTTACAGACTCAAACCTTCATGGTTTAATCCATTTGTCTTTAATTCATATTTTTAAAATAGAAAATGTTACATGTTCTTCAAATCTGTAGTAATTAGACATCACTGAGATGTCATGGTTTTAAGGATGAGTTCCATACCTCGGGCTAGAAAAGTTGATTTACTGCAATCCTTTTACTTGACTTTCTTAAGTTTGTTAATTTTTCTTAGAATGGAATCTTCTTGCAAGTGTTAGGAGACAATTACTACCCCAACAATGGTTTCTTTGCAGCTTCCAAAGATGGCTCAGCCGGAACACCCAACCTGCAACTTTATGATGTGAAAACTGGAGCGTGTTTGAAGTCCTTCATACAGAAAAAAATGCAGAATTGGTCAGTCTATGCTTCAAAGTGCCAAGTATTCACACAAGGGCTTATATCATCATGGGGCGTGTTTGAAGTCCTTCATACAGAAAAAAATGCAGAGTTGGTCAGTGTATGCTT